TGATTCATACCCAAAAGCCGAAAATTCCACTCCCACACAAGTTGAAACCGGCGGCAGAAGGGGGGGAGAAGACAGCAGATCCGGAAGTTCTGGGTAAAGAGAGAGACTTCTAGGCTTGAAACTTGGTTCTTGAGCAAGAAAGGAGGGAAAATCTCAAGCTCCTACCAGTTTTTCCCAAAGGATGGCTGTCAGCTTGCTTGATTCTCTTTTTTTTTTTTGTTTCGGCTGCAGCAGGGAGAAAGAACAGAGCAGACACGCGAAAATGCTGGGGGAAGAAAGAAAGAAAGAAAAAAAAAAAAGAACAAAAAGAAATGAGTCAGCCGGCCTTATCCAAAAACCTTTTGACCCCTTTAAAGTTTGAAAATTTTGACTCTTAAGTCCATTAATAACGTTTCCTCACCATTAAGTCCCTAACTCAACTTAATATTCTTGAAATTTTTGGGGTATTACAAAAGATGAATTGAAACCCTAGCTTCTAAACGTTATAACATGCAAGAGATATAACCACCAAGTTCAAAAGTTATATAAATCTCCTTGTCATATTTTTGGAACTCAAACGACATATTTCACAATTTAGAAACTTTTATTTTCATATTTGCACTTCAACCTCAATCTAAATGCATCCTAGTGCATAACAAGGTAAAATGAATTCCCTCCCTCTTTGCGCATTAATAAGAAATGCACCCGATGTGTTTTTCTTTTTCAATTTTCAAGTAATTCAACATATTTTTCAATGTTAAATGCATACCCTAATTAATATATAAGGTAGCATTTTATACCTTGTATAAATTGAGTCAATTGTGGTAATAGGTTTTAGAATTATTATGTTAGATTGATTTAGAGTTTTTAACTTTCTTGATTATTAAGTTACCTAACGCTTTATATAAAGGCTACCTATGTACTCATTTTCATGTTATAGAATAATAAAGCATTTTGAATTTCTTTTAGTTTTCTTTCTTTCTTTTCCTTGCTTAAATTTCCTACACGAACCTTGAACTTTCGGGAGAGTTGATGTCTGGAGCAAAATGAGGTTGACAGACTTCTAGGAAAAATGAATGCCAAATAGGATTTTAATGTAAAAGTGGTTAATATATATAACATTCTACTTAAACCTAAATTTTACCCAAGATTTTAGCCATTCATTGTTTCATTATGTATTGATTAATAGCATAGATTTATCATAATTTTTTGAAAAATAATACATACACCCTACAAAGTTACAGACTCCGTTACACACTTCAATAACTGTCACTTATGATGACTTGAACTTGGTCATCATTACCTATCACTATAGTTTTTGAAGGGTCTCCACTTAATAACGGAAACAAATGAAAAGAAGAGTTTCAAGTGGGAGCAATTTTTTATAATACATGGCATTCGGATTTTTGACTTGAATAATCTTATTGAATTTATCAATCAACCTTATTCATGTTTATAGGATAAATCTCCATCTTAAACTAAGGGTGATAACAATAGCATGTTAAAATTATTTACACCCACTAAATAATAATAGTTTAACTTTAATAAAATATTTTAAGTAATAAAGAGTTTAAAATTTTAATTGAAATTATTTACACCCACCAAATAGTAGTAATTTAGGTTTAAGAGACTGTCTCAAATAATTAAGAATTAAAAACTTCAAATTGAAAATTTCAAATTTCAATATTGAAATAAGTGGAAATGATTAAGAAAAATAAAAGATTTTTTATTTTTTTATTCATTTGATATACTAAAAAATAATAATAATTTAGACCTATATTTTCAATATAGTTGTCATCACCCTTAATTATCACTTGAGCTAATCCCAACAAGTTAAGTGGGAGTAATTTTCTGTCAATAGTTGAAGCCCTCAAAGGTAATGGAAGAACCATACACTAAAACCTCTCATTTATAGACCTAACAAAAGGAGAATAAATAAATAGCTCTAGGTAAAACAAGATACAAATATTGACTTATCTCTAAAATGGATCAAACTATAATATGATTGATTTTAATAGGTTTAATATCCTTTTTGGTCCCTCTACTATTGAAAAAGCCCTTTTTTGGTCTTTAAAGTTTAAAATCTAACCACTTTTTGGTCCCTCTGTTAAGTTTTTGCTAAGCTATCACGTTAATTAACGGAATTACTTAATTATTTTTTAAATAAATAATTTATAAATGGCATGGAAATTATATGGATGAAATTATAAATTCATGTAAGCATTTCATCTAAAAATTTTAGACCACGTGTACAAATTAAAAATTTTCCTTTTTAATTATGAATTAAATGAATTTAAACATAATTAACTTTAATTTCTTCATCTTCTTCTTTCTCCTCATCCTTATCCTCGTCCTCACCTCACCCTCGTCCTCAAGCATCATTATGTCACCGTTTATCTTCACCATCCTCTTCATCATCTTCACCATCCCTTTCTCCATGCTCTTCATCATTATGGGTTCCTCAGGTTCTGTGAGGAACCCAAATCTAGGTTCCACGAAGAACCCAGTTTTTGGGTTCCTCATGGAACCCAAGTTTTGGAATTATTACAAGAACTCAAATCATGTTTGATACGTGGGTTTGAAACTACAGATGACAGATTTATGTTGCCGTGTTTACGTTACTATGAACTCCATAACTTGGTGCATTCATGATCTAGATTCGATAGGAAAAGAGGGTTAAGAATCTGATATTAGGGAGAGAGTAAAGAGAATAAGCTGTTTTGCAGAGGAGAAGTTAGGGTTTATTAATGAAAATATTGCTATGGATTCTTCATGATATGTTAACCAATTTCATATGTAAACAGTTGATTATGAATGGAGAATCTTGAAAGAAAGAAGATGATTTCTATAGAGGGAATTAAAAAAAAAAAAGGAATTTAGGGTTTTGGGTTTTTTTTTTCCTTTTTTTTTTTGCGCAAACAGAGTGACATAGAAAGGTATTATTAAGTACATGTAAGCACCTTTACAAGGTGGAATATACACGTCAAATGTTTCCATTAAGATAACGTGCCACATGAGTAAAAATTAATAGAGAGACCAAAAAAGGGCCAGATTTTAAACTTTAAAGACAAAAAAGGGGATATTTTCAATATAGGGCCCAAAAAGGGGCTTTTTTAAATAGTAGAGGGATCAAAAAGGATATTTAACCATTTTAATATAAAAGAAAGAAAGAATATAAGATTCAATTACAGAAGAAAAAAATATCATATCATTATGAAGATTGATCAAATCATGAGAAATCAATTTATTAATTGATTGATTTCAAGGATTTGATATTGTAATCTAATTAATTAATAAAAATACTTTTAATTAATAGTTATTTTCTTTCATGGTGTATCCCTTACCATAGTATATTAGAAACTTCTTCAATCTCACCCCCCACTATCTCATTTACTTTCTTACCATGGATGGTACTATAAATAAAGCGATCCTCTCAAGCTAATTATTCCCACATCTTCACATCATCTATCTCTCCAGCTACTAGCTCTAGTTACATACCTTAGAAACCCTGCACGAAATCCTATTGCTTTTGAGGATCATGGCTAAGCAATCTACTGCAAGAATGGTTTTCTTTACTGTCTTGATGGCTCTTGCATTAAGCGCTCAGGCACGACCACTTTTGCAAAATAAGGTTAAGAGCCAGCTTCTTTTACAAGAACCAAGCTATGATGAAAAGAAGTTGGAGCATTACCAGCATGTCTTCACATCAATTATAAATACAGATAGAAAAACACCTGGTGGAACATAACCCTGGCTCACCCCTAAAGATGTCTTAAGAATATATATAGCTCTTTGATATCTTAATATATAGCTTCAGATTAGCACATATTGCACTCTGTGTACGAATAAAAAAATGCAATATGCATTTGGCAAAATAATCAAACATCTATGTTCTCATGATTATTCTCTCTTTTCCTACCAGAGTACATGATATATTTAAAACATTAACGTAACTAATTTTTGGTTGAGGAACCGACTTGGAGGCTTGGGTTACAATGTTTGGCTCACAACAATCTAGTCCATTTGGCTATGGATAAGCCAACTCATGTTTAAAGACAAGAAAGAAAAAGGGAAAAGGGTGGTGGAACTAGTGAAGATAAGATCGTTTTACTAGCTCAAGGCATCAAAATGGCCTAATTCATGTTTAGAGCTATGATGTAAATCACTTAGAGAACCACTGGACATACAAGTTATCTCTTAATTGATCACACCTAATTGAACTTCGCTTGAAAAGGAGAACTTTATGATTTAGAAAAATGATTAGTGTAGACTCGATTTAACACGATTTTTAACATTTATCTCAATTAAACTATTAAAATATAATATAAATACAGTCAATTTAGCTAATTCTTGCATCTTGTATGTATGACTACATCTTTAAGCCTATTTACTTTAACTTTCATATTAAAAAATAATTTTTTAATGAGTATGTTATATAATGTATTGAATTAAAATGTGTATCAATCATTATTCTTGTATTTAACATCTGATGAAGAATATAATTTAATGACAAAATTTTTTCTCTTGTAAAGTTTAGCATGCTCCTACTCTCTTTTATAAAGTTAATTTGTTGACATGTATAATGTTGAAGGATGAATCTGTATTGCTTTAGAATTGATGACATGTGCGATTCCACATCAGTAAGGACCCACGTCATCTGTTCCTCTACAATTAGCCACGTTATTTTTTGCTGACAATTGCAAGGAAGTCATCATCACCAGAATTGGTACTTAGCATCATTCTCTCATACACCGCCAAGAACATCATTTGTTTACATCGTTGGAAACTGCGTTGAGCATAACCCTTTCATGCATCACTAAGAACAACATTTATCTATTTCATTGGAAATGGTGGAGATACATCTTGCCTCAACAATATTTTCTTGTACAGGGCCAGACATGGCTACACTTGTCCTCGCAATATGGCTGGACATTTTTTAACAGCCATGATCTCTATTACTATGCTTATTGTTACGACTGGCTCTCAACAATGGATAAAGAGCCTACCTTACTATAAACACATGGCTAGACACTTCTCAACAGTCATGGTCTCTTGCAGCGATACTCATCACCACAGCCTTTAACTCCTATCAATGGACAACAGGCTACATCCACATAACTCCCAACGATGGACAAACAGCCAGATTTGCTATCCCATTTAGCCTCCAACAATGGGCAAAAGGCTACACATGTCTACATATCTTCGTTACATTGACTCCTAGCAACGGACAAAGGGTCGGATTTCTACAATTTTTATCTCATTAGCTCTCGGAAATGGACAAAGAGTCAACGCAACTTGATACGATTAGCTTGAGGCTGGTAACAATTACAACCCCGCCATTGGACAAGATGGCTACCCTCCAGCGATAAAAATCCATCAAGTAGTGGTCGGTAGTCCTTTGGTGGTTGTTCGTGCATGGTGGTGCAATGCCTGGCGAGCAACAACAACTAGGATCACCTTCTGAAGGTGCGGGTATGGCAAGAAAAGCCAGCGTTTGTTTGTAGTATCACACTTTGTTGTATCGGAGGCCATGGATGTGGTTGGTGTTCCCCATCTATGGAGACAACTCCACGTATCTTTATCACATCCTCATCGCTATGGCAGAATCTGGTTTGATGAGATTTACCCTTTCGCAACTTGATGAGCTAGAAGGAATGCTCTTTCGATTTCACATAGTTCACGCTCTAGCCATGGACAAAGCCAGCCACTATTGTTCCTCTGGCTGTGGGAAAGCTATTCATGGCTAACCCTGTAATGCTTATATAACATGGCGGACAATCATGCACATCATCATTCAATATAAAAGGGCAAAATTATCAATCACCAATAATCCTGACTTGTAACATACTTCTTCTATATTCTATATGTTAGTAGGTATCTCCAACAAGCAGTACTTGGCTTGGAATAACAATATCATAACACACATCAATATCACTCGCTCTTTATGTGGGCGCAATACCAACCATGTATGACAATAGTGTACAAATGCCCACCATGGTCATGGGATAAAAGGAGTGCAGCCATGGTCATCTTCATTATGCCTTTTAATGCATAAGGGAGTATCTTTCTTTACCATACACAATTGTGCATTTTATACTTGAATATCCAAACGAATACATATCAATACTCTATCTTCGTTGCAAGTAGGCACGAACCCACGAATCCAAGCTCATGGGAAATATTCGGGATAAACTCTGGGAGTAATGGCTTGGTAGGCATAGATGGGTGGACGTTGCTCATTTGGAGAAGGAAGGTATTCATGCCAGTGAAGCTTGGCGCTTGCGATGTTGCCCAACTTCACCAAGGAGGTTGGGTGGCAAAGACATGAAATTGGACCTAATTCCTAAAGCAGTACCTTCTGATACTAACCAAGAGCTTGAAATCCCATGGGAAATCAACTAGAAGATGTTATTCTAGTCTCCATCAACCATCAGCTATGATATTCAATGCAAAGGTGGTTGCACAAATTATGTTGTGTTGGAAAATGCTGGGAAACATTATTGTTGCTTAAGGATCTTCCAATAATTTTGCGTAGACCCTGGGAACTTTACTAAGATCCCACGCAGATGTTGTTTTGCCAGTTGCACTCAAGTGGTTGTCTAGAAAAAGGAGTTTCGTGTCATTGGGTAGTTACTAAAAATGGGCAATCTTCAACAGATTAGAGGAACTTCACTGAGACTAACGATGCTTCGCCAGAACCATTGGGAAACTCATAATGTCACTATTGAAAAAACTGCCAACAATGTCCAGAACCATTTAAAACTAGACAACTCAACTAAACCTATCCATTAGGTTGTTGTACACTCTTGACATGTTACCCAAAAATTACAAAAATGCCACCGCACATATACATTCTTATTGTTTTTCCTTCATCTCCAAAAAGGCATAACACATGAGATTTCTAACATAACCATGTTTTCCTTCTCTGGATGACCAGACCTTCATCTTACATACATCAGCTTCTTCATCCTTACCTCTACACTATACCCACACCCAACGACCCAAGAATCACTATTTATCTTCACACTTTCTAAGTCTCTGGCATCGCCAGACACTTCTAGATCTGGAGAACGTCATGGCTAGAAAATGACATAACACAGCTTTTGTTCTTGGGTCTTTTTCTTGAGCATTAGAAGCTCAAGCTGAGAAGCCAACATCAGAGTAGAATCAAGGCACTCTCTTCTAAGCCCCCAAACGGTCATCCTTTTTTCTCCCACCACTACTTTCAAGTTTAGGCCTTTAGAAATGCTTCAAAAGAGACGTTGTATTTTACAATTATGACGTTTGTCCAATATGAAGTAAGGATACTTACTAGGGATTGTAGAGGGTGCATTTATTGTTATTATTTTGATGTCATGATTGCACACATGTAAATGCACCCTTTTAGTAGTGACATTCAAACTTCAAAAGATATTCTATTTCTAGTGTCCCTGCCATAATGCACTTCTCTATTGCTTACTTTTGATAATTGTGTAATCATTCTTCGCCATAAGCATTTCATCATCCTTGTCTAGCCCATCTCCCTCCTACTCACGACTTGACCAGGAAACCTATATTACTGGACTTGGCTGAGAAGTTCACCGCCAACCGCAACGCTGGGCAAATTGAAATGGCCAATGGCACGTAGCCTTCCACACGTGAAACGAGTGCCACCAAAATAACTCTCCTCATCTTCTCAGGTGTCATTCTAGTCAGCTTCCACATCATCATCACTGTAGATTCACCAACCCTCTTCATCAACACACCCCAACGAAAATAAAGAAAAGTTTAATCTTTTTACATCTATATATAGTTTACCATTTCCACATAAACCTTACCACACAGCAGTGACATACTAATATATGAATTTTGTGCTAATTAAAGTTAATAAAAAAAAAAGAAAAGAAAGATGAAAAATGTTGATAAAAGTTCAAAAACAATACATACAAGAAACTATTACACGAGTTCAATTATTAAACCTGTTGAAATTGTTATTAAGTGAATGTATTCCATTAACTTCGTTCTTTAAACTTGTGAAATCCCCTTTCCTAAATAGAGACAACAAGATAATTAATGTGGTTGAAAATTTGAGAGAAGAATTTGATAAGCTTTATTTATCCATGGAATGATTATGATTATATATTGAAGAATGGTAAAATAAAAACTTCTATGGAAGGAGATGAATTGATACCTTGGATTCTAAACTTTATAACATGCAGGAGATATAACTGCCAAGTTCAAAAGTTATATAACTCTCTTTGTGATATTTTTGCAACTCAAACAACATATTTCACAATTTAGAAACTTTTATTTTCATATTTACACTTCAACCTTAATCTAAATGCAACCTAGTGCATAACAAGGTAAAATGAATTCCCTCCCTCTTTATGCATTAATATGAAATGCACTCTGTGTTTTTTTTTTATTTTTTATTTTCAAGTAATTCAACATATTTTTAAATGTTAAATGCATACTCTAATTAATATATAAGGTAGCATTTTATACTATATATAAATTCTAGTAATATGATTTAGAATTATTATGTTAGATTAATTTAAAGTTTTTAAGTTTTTCAATTATTAAGTTACCTAATGCTTTATATAAAGGCTACCTATGTACTCATTTTCATGTTACAAAATAATAAAGCACTTTGCATTTCTTTTAGTTTTCTTTCTTTCTTTTCCTTATTTTAATTTCCTACACGAACCTTAAACTTTTGAGAGAGTTGATATCTAGAGCAAAGGTAGTGTTGATATTGATAATGAGGTTGACA